GACGACTTCCGTCTTTTCTTGAGGTTGAGTTACACTCTCCGGGTAATCCCGTCTCTGTGATCCGGAACTGAATGATTTCTGCCAGCTTTGCAGGCCTTCAGTTTTGGATGCCTTTCCAAGGCAGTTTCCAGAGGCTCTGTCTCGGACAGACAGGCTATGGCCAGACTGTGCGTCTTAGTATAGATCACCAGGCCAGCCTGGTGGCATGTCAGGAGGCATGCTCTCCTGAATAGTGACTGGCTGGGAATCCCTTGAGTCCCCTAGCCACACTCCCTAGAAGGGACCCCTTCTATTTGGAAGTTGTGGTCCTAAGCCTTTGAGCTGGCCCAGATATACCTCCCATGAACTATGTTCTGGCAGTTTCTCGGTTCATTAGCTTGGGCTATGACCGGTAGGGAGTGCGGTCACTGACAGCCCAACGTGACCTAGGGTGAGTGGTTTTAGTGTCCTTTGTATTACTGGTTCTGACAGTTGTCACTGCCATTGGGCATGCACTCCCCTCAGTATGGCGGCGTGGGTATTTCGTTCCCCATAACGTCGATGACGTATTGTTGAGTTCCCTTCGAAAGGGAACGTCTCAGGTTACGACTGTAACCTATGTTCCCTGAGAACAGGGAACGAGACAATACGTCTCCCTGCCATACCTCGGGGCCTGCCTGCAACAGTCCCTTCAGACGATAGGATGTTGTCACGGTTTCAAGGCACCCTTTTTATACATCCAGGTTGCGCGCTCATCATTCGAGCTGATGATGCACGGGCTGTCGCCGGTCAACATGATTGCTGTGAGTTGATATTTGATTTCAGACACCTGTCACGCCTGAGGCGTTCCCCATAACGTCGATGACGTATTGTCTCGTTCCCTGTTCTCAGGGAACATAGGTTACAGTCGTAACCTGAGACGTTTGTGCGGGATGTACGAATACATCAAAAACTGGGGAGAGGCTCCACAAGTTCCCCAAGGACAAACGGCTGATTCGTGCCTGTAAGTGTTAGCATAACCTACCCGAGGTAGAGCTTAGATCGGGCCCAAAAAAATCAAGCAAGACCGTACCCGAGCCCGCTGTGTCCGAGCCCGGTCCGGCCCTGCCGGACACATTAACTGTAATTATGAGCCCGGTTTAAACCCGACTATTTTTTAATACGTGGGTCATTATAACTGACGTTCTCAACTACTTTCTATATTACTTTCTCCCGCCCGCAACATTTATGTTTTGTCCCGCTCCCACCCGCAAAAAGACTTTTTTTCTGTACCTCCAAATACTTTCAAGTTAGCCTACGTGTCGCCACCATACACATCAGCATACATGCTCCTGATCACTGTTATAACATAAAAGCAAGCGGGCTACTGCGTGCATAGTCTGGCATGACTGCTCGCAGAGTGCGCGCTCCCATAATAATTTCTAAAAAGCTGACATCAGTTCATCGCGATCTCACACATCTGTTATTATCAATGAATCTTTCATAATATACACTATGTTTGTTATAATTAGAGGATTTGCCAGCATACAGAATTCAGCACTGAACAAAAAGTCAGTTTTGAGCGGTGAGGGGAGTCCATCGTAAATGCTTCTGATTGGCCATTATTGCGTTTAAGAAATCAACACGTATGTCTGTGATTGGCTACATCGCTCAACGCTGCAGACATGTTAGAAATAGAAACTCTGCCTGTAAACCGTTTCTATTTTGTTTTAGTTGTTCTTATTGCTTTTCTGCAACAGATGAATAAAAATGTATTCGTTTTTAGGTTTTATTCATAGATATTTCGAGTTTGCGGGAGTCTAGTGAGTGCATTACCGCCCGCGCTCCCTGTTATGACGTCATCACCCAGTTACGGTAAAAAACATGCTACCTTTGAAGAAACCCCAATACATGTTATTTTAACGCATTTTAAGACAGACATTTTTACATAAATACACATTGACCACTTTAATTTACACATTAATTGGTTGTGGTGGTTAACCTGCAATTTACACTTTAATAACAGTAAATTATATTATGCATGCACGAATAACATAAACATAGCTTAAACTAACCCCTATAAGTTGAATTACTAAGTAGCTACTAAAATGTGTAATTACACTTTAACACGTCTTAACATAGTGTCAACAAAAATGATAATATACTACTATAGCCTAGGGGCCTAATAAAGTAAAAAAGAAAATAACAAAAATAAATGGCACAAATATAATCATTGGTGTCACTTTATCTGACATAAAAATGTTGGAACACAAATGTATTTATGCATGTCAGTTTTAAAATAATCCATCACAGACATTCATCAAAACAGCGGTCTAAATTTAATACAGACATGTTTGTGGAGAAAAAAAGAAAGAATTGTTGGGTTACTTTTCTACGATACAGAAATATAAAAGTATGAGAGAAGAGGAAGAACCGATGACGTGTGGAATACTGCTGACATCTAGTGATCACTTCCTGAACTATAACTAGACCATATTAAGAGCTGCGCCACATGAAGGCGAGGCTGTGATATACTTACCGTGTTTTCAGTGGCATCCGCTGTAAGAAGCTATGGCAAGAAGCTGTATAAAGCTCCGAGGTCACTTATAATTTTAAACAGCTAATAGGGCCTATTATCTGTTTTTTGTTGTTGTTTTTTTTGGTCTACTGAATTTATTTTGGAAAGATAATGCTGTGATTCGCCAACAGAACAAGCCAAAACCACAACACCAGTACAACTCACTGAAGAGATGTAGGCTATGTCTATCCCACACACAGCCTTGCTTTCATTTTTTTTATAAAAAAAGAAAGAAAGATGGCGCTGCTGTGAATAAGGTCTATATGGTCACATGACAGACCTTAGACACTTTAATTATCATTTACAAAAAAAAAAAAACATAAACTAAAGTGTCCTTGTACCATTCAGTTTGTTTGTACGTGTAATATTATGTATTATATCAAGTATTATAAATATGTGCATAATAGTGGTAATAATCATTTTAATTGTATTGATATACTGATTATAGTTATACTGAAGATCCAAGGTTGGTATTTTTGTATTTTAAGTCCAGACAAATCATACGGAGGAGGGGGGAAAAAACATGTTAGCACTGGCTCCCGTGACCTCATGTGGCTGACACACCCTTAAGAGTCATTCTGGTTGCAAGGCAACGCGACTGTTTAACTTACACCAGAGCTTACACGGATTTCAAACACGCCCACACACATAATCGGTGGTTCCCAGTCTATGGTGGTTCCTGAGGGGGGAGGGGACACATTTTAAAACCACCAAAATTGTTTGAATCAAAATATCCTAAAAGTATATTTTATTATGTAAAATGAATTCAGGTACGTGTATCTACAATCAACACCAGCTTGCAAGCACTCAGCATGATGTCGAGTGAAAAACAGCCGAGTAGCCTATGATGCTCCACAGATCACACGATAATAGACTCAAGAAAAATGAGATTCATTAATGTCATTACGGGGTTGCATTAAATATTGATATGCCTGTGGTTCAAAGTTATCTGTGTTTGGTGTTTACTGAATGTCTGATGTGTAAACGGAGGATTAAGTGAGGGCCGGGATGAGGCTATCTATTCAAAATAGAAAGCATTCAGAAACAACATATTTCATTTTTTCATATTCTTGGTCATATTTTAGTTATAAAAAACTAATTTTAGGGCAATAAAATGTGTTTATTTAAATAGGCTTTTATCTTTATATATTTTAAATGTTTATATACTGGGCAATGATGTATCATCTGATTTATGTATCAGACTGATGTAGGCGTAAGTGGATTGGTAGAGACCTTTGTAATATCACTCATTCCGTTTCACCCCCTGCACAGTGAGTTTCAGTTATTGCCATCTGCGAGGAGGTATAAAGTCCCAAGGTGTAGAACAAAAAGATATAAGAGCAGCTTCGTACCAAATGCGATTAATAGGATTAACAAATTGTAGAGGTGGTTTTTCGGAAATGTACTAGGGGTTTTATGATTTTACAAAGACCATATGTAATGTTTTGAGAGCACTTTCTTGAGAGCACTTTACTAAGTATGAGTATTTATTTTCTTGTCTTTATGTGTTGTGGAGTGTTCTGTGTTGTGTGTTTTTGTACTGGATGCCATAGAATGCCATTGCACTGTAAAACAAATTTACCTAAGGGTACAATAAAAGTAACCTAACCTAACCATTATTATGTTAGACAATAAGAATCCCATTATTTATTGGAATTTTAAAGGATGCGTGGATAGATAATAAAGACAGTCTGTGAATTGAATGCTCTTTGAACATTCACAAAGTCACTGTTGAAGTCTGTGATTGACCCGTTTATGAAAATGATGTTTCCTCCAGTCTAGTTGCTTTTAAGGATTGGCATTTCTGTGGTGTGTTGTGTTGTTGTTGCTGTTATCATGCCATTTGTGTGTCTATTAGAGTTTCAGTCATTTCTGGGAAAGGCGAAGGTTGTTTTGTAGCTCTTCTGTCTCCATAAGAAAACAGAATGCAAAACAGAAACGTATAAAAAACTATACAAGTTTTAAAAATAATTTTTATTAGCCTATATAATGTGTTAATAAATTGCATTATCATCTCAAGTTGAATAAATATGCTGTATGTTGGGACATAATCATGCCTACAGAAAGTATAACAGAGCTGACAAGTAGCCTAATTTAATATTACAAGCCTTGTGCTTGAGTAAAGAGAATTTAAAGCTGATATATATAATCAAATGTATAAAATCGTGGTAAAATGTGCATATGAAGGACAAAAATGGAATCGTTTTGTAGAATTATCCTTATTATATAAATATTCATTCAAGCAAAAGTTCTCAGAGGCTTAGTTCTGGAAAATATTCTATGTTAAGATTGTATTTGATACTCTCAAACTCAAAGATGTTTTTAAGTTCCAATGTGTCTGCACCCTTAAAACAATCATAAAGGGCATTTTCTTTTGAAAATGTCTCCAAGAGTCTCATCAGAATAACATCTGATATGATATCTTTATAATTTTGTAAAGTATTTTGGAATCCAGCCATGAACAGAAAATCATTGAGTGTTTATTTCCATGGTGGAACTTACAGGACTTTTGAGAATATATTTTGTGCCCAATGCTGACACTTATAAAAACTTAAAAAATTTGAACATCACTGGACAAAAATGACAAAACATAATCTTTTGCAAAACATACATACAGTGTAACTGCAGTAACAACTTCAAGGCATGTGGCTGAAAGTGAAAAACATTAACAAAATGACGAAACAGAAAACCAGATTTTTTTTTTGCCTTCATGTTTGACTATTTAATTCTTTTTGACACCAGCAGGTGTCTGCGTATGCTTCTGGTAGATCTGTTCGCAGGCAATGGAGAGGCCCACCACAAGAGACACAAACTCTTCAAAATTCACCTCTCCATCTCCATTAGAGTCCAGATCCCTCATAATCTTGTCAATGGCAGCAGGGTCCTTCTGAGTCTAGGAGAAACAAAAGATACATGTTTGCAATATAATTGAATTGGAGGTTTCCACATATTATGGAAAAAGAGTGAAATATGAAGAAGATTGGAATGATTCGGTAGGGATTTCAGAGGCCCCTTGCTCCGGGCCCTCCTTAGGACCGTACCAGGCCCCGCGCTTGAGGGGAACGGACCAGGGGGCCGCTTCCACTACCTTGCACTGGGTCCCGCCCCATGCTTGGTACGGCCCTGCCCGTGCTATACCATTAAAAATAAAGGTTCTTGCCATCCATGGTTCATGGTTCTTTTGTGCAGTAGAATCTTTCCACTGCACAAAATCATTACAGGGCCCAGACCAATGTTTAAAGTTATCCCTTTAAAGTTAGTCTTGGGTGTATGATAGATGGAAATTTGTACCTTCAGAAAGCTAGACAGTTCTTTCTCCATCAGCAGTTTGAGCTCTTTGCGACTCAGGGATGCTTTGCTACCCTCTGTGTCGGCATAACGGTGAAACACCGTGATCAGAGTTTCCATTGCTCTCTCCAGATCAGACGGCATTTTGACTGTCTACAGTGAGAGATAATGTATTAGTTTTTCTGTCTCATCCCTTAATCAAACTGGATATTATGCAAACAGCCATTGTTCTCCTCCCATTGGGCAGATTGGGAAACAGAAGTGGATTTTTCCATTTGGAAATAAGCCAAAGTGTGAGTAATGCCCACCAGATGTAATGCCAAATTGAAGCATAAAAAAAAGGCATTTATTATTAGAAGGTCTATATCCTGATGCAATTGTTTAAAGTATTTCAGAATTAATTCGTAATTTTGAACTTTTGTTCTACCTATAAAAACGTTTAGATTAAGTTAGTGACACTGACGGCCATAAAATCTGTGCATACATGCTCACACACACTGACACACACACACACACACACACACACACACACACACATTTAAAAAGTGCAGTTCGTATTTCAAAGTTATTTATTAGCCTAGCCTACTATCACTTAACAAGTACAGAAACCTTACAATACTAAGGTAAAAACTTTAACAGTTTTACAGTAAAAGCGCTCTCAGTCAGTAACTAAAACAATGTTGTAGGCTACTATTCCTTTATTTAAATGTCAACTTGTTCCAGAATATAAAAGTTTGCGTACTTACGTTGATAAAAGGCAGAGCGTCACCTGAAGATGAAAGAATGTACTGAATGTCCTGTGCAAGAGTTGGTCAAGCAGAGGAGGAATTTATACCGGGGCTCCGCCCGAATGAAGAGTGTGAGGTTGGGTGGGAACTGTAAATTTTAACTGTTTAGGGCTTAACGTTGCAGAAAACGCTGACGGGTTTACAATACAAACGCGAATAAATGTAAGCATGTGTATGTAAATTAATTTAACAGTGCTCCTGTTACAGATGTATGAACGAGGAATTCCACTCCAATCACCTCTGCTGGAACAAAACACACCTTAAATCAGTCACGCGTGAAACCAGTTAGACCATCGTAAACCAGCTAAAACCAGCAAACCACCCTTGTGAAAAAGAAGTGTGCTTACTTGTAGTGTCCTACTTCAAATCTTATATTTTAAAATGTAGCCTACTTGCAGATCATATTATATTATTAAAATAAAAGGCCACTTAAATGTAGGTTACTTAAAGAGACTTTCATGACTGTGTAGCCTACAGTGCACTTTGAAATAATTGAAAATTAAACCTTTTTTATTTAAGGTAGGCTACATTTTAATTTATTGTTGCAATAATTTTTGATATTTTGTAGTGCTTCAAAGAAGTATTATTAGTTCGATGTGCTAACACATTCACAGCATATGTAAACTTATGATTTTAACTGTAGTGTGTGTTTTTTAAAATGGTTTCATCATTACAAACGTGTAATTAAAAATGCATGTAAATACCACAATGCTTGTCAGTACACTTATTTAAATATGTGTACATCATAATTTAATGACAATAGAATTATGAAATTACATAAAGATGTATGCAAGTCCTATAAGTGGCTCAAAAAAGCACTCTTAAGTTAAACTAATTTAATTTAATATAAATGTAATAATACATTTTCACTAAATTTAAAATAACAAGCAATTAAGTGTTCAAAAACATTACATTCAGTTTGCACTCCAGTTTATCCCTTTATTTCAGTACTCTTTTTAAAAGTATGCTAATGTGTACTCCTTTTTCGCAAGGACAGATTGTTTTTAAGCAGAAAAACACTGTTGCCATCACTATTGGATTTTGCACCAGTGGAATATATATATGTGCTACTTTACGGTCAGTGCATTCCTATGCATGTTGAATGAATGTTCAGTCAGTATGTTTTCACAAGGAGGACCAGCCCTTTCATTCCTATCCACCATTTCCTAAGTGTGTGACTCAAAACTTTCACAATGCTTCTCGTCTGACACAACACAACATGTCTGACTCTCCACTTTGAACAAATGTTAGAAGAGGATACTTGGCAAGGCATTATTTTTAAGGGAAGGGCTGCCGTTTTTGGCAAAGATAAGACATGGCCTGTTTCAATCTGCACAGTAGGCATGAAGGGATGTCTCTACCCAGCACACAGGAAGTGCCTTTAAAGGGGTAGTTCACCCAAAAAAGAAAATTCAGTCATCATGTACTCACCCTTAAGTTGTTCCAAGCCTGCATGAATTTATTTATTCTGCTGAGAATGTCTGCAACCAAACAGTTGATGAGCCCCATTGACTTCCATAATATTTGTTTCCCATATGGAAGTCAATGGAGTCCATCAACTATGTGTGGTTACCCATATTCTTCTAAATATCTTCTTTTGTGTTCAGCAGAAGAAAGAAATTCATACAGGTTTGGAACAACTTGAGGAAGAGTAAATGATGACAGAATTGTCATCTTTGGTTGACCTATCATCAGACACTGTTATACATTGTATCACTTTGGAAATTAAATGTAATCTTTATAGGACATGAGAAAAGGGGAAGAGAGAGAACGGTCAAGGGTGGATGACACATGGTGTTTTGAGTAAGCGCGATTGTTTTTGTCATAGTAACCATGTTGAATTCTTTTCACATCTCTGGAGGTTTTTTGCCACTACAATTCTCTCGTTACATTCCTTTCAAGCTAGGGCATGACATTTTTTTAAGTGGTCTAACTGGCAGTTTTTTTCCACAAAGGGCTAAAACAGATAAACATCTATGCATTAATGCTATAAAGAAGCAACATGAAGGGGAGAAAACATCAACTTTCACAACTACAGCATTGGTCCATCCAGAAAAGACAAATCGATGTGGAAAATAACTAAACTAGTTACTGAACAAATGGGCTTCCACTAGTTTTTTGTCCTTCAGAATATTCAATGACTATGTTCATATAGCCTGGGAGAACCATTTCGGCAGAGCAAGGTTTCACAACTATCTGGAACAGTTCCACAACTATCTGGTTTTAATTTGAAATGCATTACAAAGATTTGGGTGAGCTTCAACTGTGGTAGAGCATACTTTTAATTCCATGCTAATTTGAAGCTTATCTGCGTGTGAGGAGTGAGTAGGATAAATACAATGACTGAGTTTTTTGTGCGGGGTCAGTAACAGGACTGACTGAGTCAGCTGAGAGTCCCAGGATGCAGTGTGAGGCCTTAGGCAGGAAACCAGGACTCTTTAGCATACACAAAGGGTGGAGGACACTGAAATCACTTGGCAGGTTAGTCATCTGGAGTCTAACAACTCACTGCAATAATAATTATTTCTAAATAAACTGCAGTTTTCATATTATCTGTAACAGAAAATTCACATTAAAGTCACAATGAAACTTGTGATGTACAGTGAAATTTAGGCTGGGGACTTGGTTTGATACATCAGTTGTTGATTGAATGAACTGAATGTGAGCTTGACAACAAATTTAAGAAAACGGCGGGTTTAAGTGGACTAGATTACTGAAGAAGTCCAGCATACGCCACTTGGGCGAAGTCTGCCGTTTCACCGGAAAAAGGTACATACAGTGGGGAGAACAAGTATTTGATACACTGCCGATTTTGCAGGTTTTCCCACTTACAAAGCATGTAGAAGTCTGTAATTTTGATCATAGGTACTCTTCAACTGTGAGAGTGACGGAATCTAAAACAAAAATCCAGAAAATCACATTGTATGATTTTTAAGCAATTAATTTGCATTTAAATGAATGAATCGGTCCAAATAAGATCAATAAGATGCATTTAGAAAATAGAAAGAGTGAATTTTCATTTTGTGCCGACTATAACAGGAAAACAAGAGTAGCTCTCTGAAGGGCCATTGATTTTTATATCAACTTTTAATAACAAACCCCTTAAACAAAAACAATTTTGTAAACAGAACCAAAAACCACACATCTATGACTGGTATGACAGTGTGTTTAGTTATTTTTCAGTGTGGATGGAATGGATAAAAAAAAAAGCCTGCTGTTGGCAAACACATCAGATTTTGTAGCTTTAGCATACAGCGGTGTGGTGGCTGATGTCATGAGTGCTTCAGTTCTTCCTTTTGCCCTTGCTGGTGAGTTTGGCAGGAGCTGGAGCAGGTGCTGCCTGGTAAAGAGCTGCTGACACTTTGTTGATGTAGTACAGTGCGATGACAGAGAAGATCAGGCTATATTGGAGAGAACAGAGAAAGAAAGAACAAATTAACAGTGTTGAATGAGGTATATTTGACCAATTCGACAGGTAGCCTATAAAAGTCAAGTGGGTTGTCAACAATTTTTTTGTTTGTTTTTAAAAACTGTGGGATGAGTCAAGTCTTTTATGTGGTAATCGATTACCACAACAAGAAGAGGAGCTCGCACACATAATAGTCGAAGATTTCTTACAAAAAATACTTTATTTAGAGGCCAAATGCAAAGTCCAAACGTTTTAGATTCACAATATCATCAGTGCCGTAATGGACAATAGTGCACCTGATATATATATATATATATATATATATATATATAATGTTTGTTTGTGTGTGTGTGTCTTGTGAAAGTATTCAATCCCGTTCATTTTTATATTTTGTTATGTTGCTGACTTGTTAAACTACTTTAAATGACTTTTTTCCGATGAATCTACACTTCATACCTCCATACACCATAATGACAAGGCAAAAAACTGATTTGTGACAACTTAAACCTTAACTGCAAATTTAGTGAACTGAAATAATTACATTGCATAAGTATTCATACCCTTTTCTAGGACACTTGAAATTTTGCTCAGGAGCATTCCAATTGCGCTTGTATATGTTAACCTATGGCAAATTCAATTGAATTGGGTATGATTTGGAAAGGCACACACCTTTCAATAAAAGGTCTAACAGCTGAAAATGCAAATCGGAGCAAAAACCATGAGGTCAAAAGAACTGCCTGTAGAGCTCAGAGACAGGATTGTGTCAAGACATAGATCTGGGGAAGGAAGACTACAAAAAAATCTGCTCCATTGAAGGTTCACAAAAGCATGTTACCTCCATAATCCTTAATAGAAGAAGTTTGAAACAACCAGGAGTCAGGAGTTCTAGAGCTGGCCTCTTTGCCAAACTTAGCAATTCATGAAGAATTGCCTTGGTAAGAGTGGTGACCATGAAGCTGATGGTCACTCTGGTTGAGCTTCATGATCATTTATGGAGATGGGAGAAATTTACAGAAGGACAAACATCACTGCAACACTCCACCGATCTGGGCTTTATGGCAGATATGAGTGGCCAGAATCAATCCTCTCCTCAGTGAAGACACATGAGAAAACAATTTTTTCTCAGACTGTGAGAAACAATATTCTCTGGTCTAATGAACCTCAGTTTCAAGCATCATGTATGGAGGAAAACAGGCACTGCTCATCACCTGCACAATACCATCCCAACCATAAAGTGTGGTGGTAGCAGCATCATGATGTGGGGGTGTTTTTTTCAGTGGCAAGGACTGAGGGACTCATCAGGGTAGAAGGAAAGATCAGCACAGCAAAATATAGAGTTAGCCTTAATCAAAACCTGGTCCAGCCAGAGCATTCAGAACTTCGGACTGGGCAGAAGGTTCACGTTCCAAAAGGACAATGACCCTAAGCACACAGCAAAGACAATGCAAGAGTGGCATATGGACAACTCTGTGAATGTCCTTGAGTGAACCCAATCGAACATCTCTGGAGAAACCTGAAAATGTCAGTCCCCCGACAGCCCCCATCCTACCAGACAGAGCTTGAGAGGATCTGAGGAGAAGAATGGCAGAAAATTGCCAAATGCAGTATTGAAAAGCTTGTCACATCTTACCCAAAAAGACTTGAGGCTGTAAAGGTGCTTTAACTAAGTACTGAGTTAAGGGTTTAAGTACTTATGCAATGTACTTATTTTCAGTTTAAATTATGCAGAAATGATACAAAGAAAATTATATAATTATATAAATATATATTAAATAAATATAAAACTTATTTTATAATTACACAAAATAATAATACAAGAAAGTTTTCATAATCATCAAGAATATAGTGCAACATTATCCAAAACAATATATCAAACATCATAATATGATTATCATATTTATGAGGAATAAACCCTGCAAAAGAGAAAAAGAAAACCGAAGGAGAGAAAATCAAAAACGTTTAAACGTTTTAAAGGTAACTCACCACGTTGTCACGCACACACGATGCACCAAACCAGACGCAAAGAGAGAGAGGCACAGGCACACGAGAACTAAGACAGAGATTAAATATTTTTCAGTTAAGAACATATATTAAAACTTCATTAATTCCGATTTTAATTCAATCTGATTACATTTGGCTGTCAAAATGTGTATTTGTACATTATTAAAATGTCATTATTAAAATCTTCTGGTTAAATAGACACTGCTGTAAGTTTGTGATTTAGATTTTTTTCTTCATTTATTTGATCGTAAAAGCAGTAATATTGTGAAACATTATTACAGTTTCAAAATAACTGTTTTGTTAGTTTAATATATTTTAAATATATATATTTATGTAATTTATTCCTGTGATGGCAAAGCATGGGTTCAGTGTCACATGATCCTTTAGAAATCATTCTAATGTGCTGATTTGCTGCTCAATACACATTTCTTATTATTATCAATGTAGATAACAGTTGTGCTTTTGTATTTTTGTGGTAACCGTGACTTTTCAGTATTCTTTGAAATAAATTTCTTTATGGCCTTTACTGTAAAGTCTTTAATGTTACTTTTAAACATTTTAATGCATCCTTGCTGAAAAAAAGCTTTTTAACTTTTTAATGGTAGTGTAAGTGTTTCTTCGTTCATTTGAACTTTCTGCAAGTGAGGAGGATACACCAGACAATAGCAGTATTTAACATAAGGTTAAGTCATTCACTTACTCTCTGGGAAGATTTTGGCTTGGAAGCCCTTCCCGAAGACAAGGTTCTCCAGGTTATTGAAAGCCTGTAATTGCAGGTTAAGAACTAACACAGAAAACAGATAAGCCAACTGAGCAAAAACGTAATATTAAGCCTTAAGGTTAGACAAACTACTACTGTATGCATGACAAGGCAGCAGAAGGATACTGTAAGAGAGCAGACAAACAGCACAGACCCCAGGAAGCCCCCCAGGATGGTCAGCCACTCTGAAGAGCCCAGCTGGCGACTGAACATCTGCATTCCTGCAAACACCAGAACGGACAGCAGACTGGACAACACCAGGGAAGTACTTGTGTTCACCGCTATAGTAACAGAGAGAGAGAGAGAAAACATCAGTCTAAAAATAAAAGAATAATATGACCAGTAATAGTACTGCTGCCTATATTATTTATTAGTCAGTATTCTGTATTATACTGATAAATAATATTTAAATAATATTATTTAAAACTTTATAATATTTAAAATAAAGCTGTCGAATTTGAATTGAATACATTAAGAAAGAATTAAGAAAATGTACGCGTACAGTTCTTGACAGAGAACTAGTCTATTTGGTTCCGCGACGGGCTAGTGTTCACTACGGAATAATTAATTTGGGAACGAGGGAAGATTCAGATTAATAAACATTTGGTCAACTAATGATTTACTAACAAGAAACGTTAAATTACACTGACAAAGGCAAAAAAGCATAAACGTAAAGGGAAAAGCGTACTATGGATCTATTATGAAGCAGGTAAATGTGCAAGAATTTGGACACGTCAGTGTACGCTCTTTAAAACGTTCCGTGTGGAAACAATCAGAGAGGCTACAATTTTCATCTACTGTTTTGCTTTTTTTTTTAAATAGTACGAATTACTTTACACACACAATTAAGTTATTATTATTATTCTTTCGTCTTTTCTAAGAATACTATGCCGATGACAATTGAAAACGTATGATATGTTTAGCAATGGTTAGCGGTGAGCTAAGTTAAACACCATTCATACAGTAACGTTACAATTTTTCTTTTGCTTTTTTCGAAACACAAAGGGACGAAAAAAATCCCAATTCAACTTATTGTTAATGTTCACAAAGCGATTTAAATGAGGAGCTGCAGCAGGTTCCAATTTTGCGTTTAAAGGCTAACAACTTTTAACGAGCCCACCCGTGTACTATCTGTCCCTTTTTATGATCATATGCGTGCAAAATAACAGCTCAAATTTCAACGTTTGAAATAGTTAATGTAAAAGCTAAGCTCACCCATATCGGACAGCAATAAGGCAAAGAGACAGGTTTAACTCCTCTCTGTTCAGTCTCGGGCAGCAGAGCAAAGATGACGCGCTTCTAACGTCTAAATCCTGTGCCAAGTGCAAATCCCCCTGCACTAACCCTACAGCTTCATCTAGTGGACAGAAGAGTGCAGCACATTCACACAGCATATTATATTATATTATATTATATTATATTATATTATATTATATTATATTATATTATATTATATTATATTATATTATTATATTATAATATTATATTATATTATATTATATTATATTATATTATATTATATTATATTATATTATAATGTGGCGGTGAATGTGCTGCACTCTGTGAATGTGCTGCACATAATATAATATAGCATAATATAATATAGCACAATATATTATATTATATTATGCTATATTATATTATGCTATATTATATCCATATATTTACCATAGAATGATACCATAGAGTGTAATACCCTTCTTTTACTGTCTATGGTAATACCACCCAAGAGGCTCTCATGCATGCTCAGCTCAGCATCCATGCGCATGCTCTTTACTGATCTCCCCCTAAAGACCTCAGCAAACACTGTTGGAGCCCCCCTAAATCAACATGGATTGCGTTAAATTGGACCTCTCTTAGACACAAATAATAACGTAAAGGTTTAACAGCCGTCAATTTCAGTTGCATGTTCAACCATTTTGTTTTATTTCGCGGACTCCTGATCTTATAAACAGTTATTTGTTTAAATGATTCTCTATGTAGAAAAAAACGCTCATTAGCGTTTATTTCATTTGCTATTAATCTAACAATCGGCATAGTTCAGCAATGGCAGATGCGGAGTTGCAAACCTTTACATCCATTATGGACGCCCTCGTGCGTATAAGCGTAAGTACATTTGCATTATTAAAACCACATATTTACACGTTATCATGTCATTTGCACGCGGCTGTTATTTAACTCACGAATGCAATGTTTACGGTCAGCTGTAGGCTAAATGGGACATTTGAGTGTTTTCCATGCCCAAATCTAACATAAAAAAAACCCAGTTAAAATAGATAAATCAAATTCTTTAGAGCATATTATTTGCTAGATTATGAATAACACCTGTAAGCAGAAACCGACTCCGAGTAGGCCTATATTTTTCATCCTCTTTTGCTAAAGCGCGTGTAGGCCACGGCTGCTTTTCCTCTGTTATGAATGATTTAGGCTATTTGCTCTTAAGCGTGTAGGCCTATTTCTAATATATAATATCAGAATATTTATGTTCCCGTTAATACACGATTGAACAGACTGATGCATTTGGTCTACCTTAGAATCATGATTGATGCATAGCAGACGCTGGTGCAACATATTCATTGATTACACTGTTAGAGAAGAGGTAAAGGAAAAATAAAGGAGCCTTTCAAATCTATAAGAAGCGGAAAAGGCCTTATCACTGAGCTGCTGTCGCGCGGATGCATGTTGCCATAGAGACGGGATGCAAGAGAGGTCGCGAGCTGTGGGAAACGTCTGGAAAAAAACTAGTATAAAAGAGGAACAGAAGACAGCTAGGAGAATTTAATTATTTCAATGGCTTATTGACAGAATAAAATGTATACTGTCAGCTCTGGGGGAAATAATGGCTAGATACTGAACATAAAACAGCTAAAAATAGCTTAAATTGATTTAGTCAGGCTTTTAGATCATCTTGCTAAACCACCCAAACCAGCTGAGCACATGCCTGACTGGGACAGCTGTAAAGGTCAGCATTTTCTTTTTAAGGAGGGGAACCCTTTTTTATTATTATTATTATTAAATGATGGAGACTAATGGAGTGCAAACAATGCAATTTTTTAGCAGCCTGGTTCTAGAAATATTTTCCCCCATTTATTTTTCATAGAGATTTTTTTTTAAAAGTGTTTGTTTAAGAGTTATAAGTATGCGTTGGAATAACAACATTACAAAGTTTAATGTAAAGCAAATCTTTTTGAAAATCGGACAAAAAGGTAGAAGACTGTGTACTTAACAGCTTTAATGAGGGAAATAACTACAACTGCGAAAAACATCATTTATTTAAAAACAATAACGAAATATAAAACTATTGGTTTAATATAATATATAATATAATTTATATATAATGTGGATGCAGTATTGTCTGATGTATTTTTTTTTATGCCAGCGTTAAAGATGAATTTCTGTCCAGGAAATCTGAACAGATAATAAAGTCAAACAAACAAGCAAACAAACAAGATGTTGATTATGTATAGAAACAATATATTTTAAGTTCGTTTTAGAATGTAAGACTGAAGTCATTCGCAGTGCTTTATATGAGTGGGGAGTAGCCAAATGAAAAGGGTTCATTTGGCAAGATTTAGTTGCAATTCTCTGATTTAGTGTAGATTTCTCTGCGGAATCAAGAGTAATGAGTAGATTCAGCAGGAATTCCACTGTTAAACATGATTATTTAAAGAATAAGTTAAAATAATATGGACTAACCGCTTTGTCAAAAGCATATACCATCGATTAAGTTATCCTTTAAAATCAATTTCCCTGTGGAGAAAATAAATGGGATTTTTTCTTCTGGAAACCGACTTAAATTTAGATTCCAGTGGTGTAGAATGAATGGTTGTTTATGAGTATGATCAAATACAAAAAAAGTGATTAAAATGTTAACTTCCTTATGCCAGATATGAAACTTGGGTGGCAGGAATTGTAAATAAACAAGATGTGTGTGAACATAGTCTGTATTACAGAAGCCAACATCAAGTTTTTCGAGTTTGAGGAATGGTTTTCTTGTACTTCCAGCTGAGCCTAGTTAAACGTCCGAGATGACTAACACATTTGAACAGATTTGTAACACAGAAAGAAGTTCAACTCGTAAATCTCAATTGTCAAAACTCAAAATGTAGCTACTACCAATATCAGTCATTTGTGTGAATACATAGCAGACTTCACGATTTGAATGTTGGATAAAAGTATTTCCATTACTGGGGAAATTTGTAAGCAGAACTAGAACGAAGGAAGTAAACACTTTTAATAAACAACATGACTGTTTGTGTGTGTTGTTTTTGGCATTTACATAATTTTCCTGATATGCAAATATTCAAAAGTTCATACTGACCAACCTACGCCCATAATGTTTACCTTAGAAAAAACTCAGTCCATAGCACAATCCATAGTCAATTTCAGTCAAATTGGTGTAAAAAATTCTGGTAAATTTCACAAACACTTACAAAGAAACTGCAAGTAACACATTAAATGAAATCTAAACTTATAAATTAGAAAAACTGAAATTGTATTTTCCTGTTTTTTTTTTTGCAATTTTGAAAAAACTATATGTTTTACAGTGTATAGGCTAAAATAAAAATAAAGCCTACAGTGTTGCTTCAAAAACATGAAACTGCACATGTAACATCAGGAATGATGTTTATTATATTAATTATATTATATTATATATATTAAAGCCTTTACCTCTGAAACAGGATGGTTATGATCTGTCTATATCAACATAATCTATAATGTATTCGAGAGAGTGTTGTCTGTGCTTACATGTCTGATTGCGTTTTCCTCTGGTAAATATTGTTAAAACTGTCCCTTTCTCTGTCTAGTCTAATATGAAGACTATAGAGAGAGAGCTGCACTGTCCCGTGTGTGAGGAGATGGTGAAGCAGCCGATAGTGTTGCCATGTATGCACAGTGTGTGTGTGCTGTGTGCGGCAGAAGTCTTGGTTCAGAGAGGATACCCGCCCCCCGAGCTCCCCCCAGAGCCCAACACACCCACCTCAAGCCCCAACACACGCTCTCCCCGACAGACGCGCCGACCTCCACCCAAAACAGACCGCCTAGACCGGGTGATCAGAACAGGTTTGTGTGTTCCTTAATAGACAGCGAGATCAAAATCAGGTGTGCTGTCATCTTATTATACACGGCTCTCTGAGATGCTCGATTCTGATCTGTCAATCAATCGGTCAGTTCTGTAGTCAAGTATTTTTTATACTGACCACTACTGTACACTATCGTTTTTATTTTTTAACCCTTTGATGCGCAAGCTATGGATACCCCTTCTAATGCGCAACATGGGTCTAAAAAGACCCGTATTCATTTCCTATGTTATTTCAGTCATGGCTGAATGTTTCTTTGCTATGTTACAATGTTGTAAATCACACCTGATTTACAACATTGTTGTAATCTTTAAAATATATGCATTTTATCATTTGTTATTCCAGGTATTGATTAAATATCTTGTTTTTGATTTACACAAATCATTATGTTTATGTTTCCTTTCTTACTTTATAAACAAACACAGTTTTTGTATTTCTACATCAATTTTACATACACGGGTCTAAAATGACCCGTATTCATTTCCTATGTTATTTCAATCATGGCTGAGTGTTTCTTTGCTGAATCTTTAAAATATATGTATTTTATCATTTGTTATTCCAGGTATTCATTAAATATCTTTGTTTTTGATTTCCACAAATCATTATGTTTATGTTTTCTTTCTTACTTTATAAACAAACACAGTTTTTGTATTTCTACATCAATTTTACATACACGGGTCTAAAATGACTGTATTCATTTCCTATGTTATTTCAGGTGGCTTTGACAGTTACAGATTTTAAAATCAAAAGGCGGGGAAAAAAGGACCCTAAACTCTTAACACATCGAACCATTTCAGCATAATGGCTTATTCAAGACTATACGGTTCTTAATAGAACTTTTAGGCCTATTACATGTAAATAAGCTTTAAAGGGGCATTTGGCAACTATTTCAACTTAATGAAACCATTTAGAAATCATTTGGATGGTTTAATAATTGTTCTGGTGAAAATGGTGACTTTCCCTGCTCCCCCCAACGTTCCTAGGCGGAAAACCAACCTTGCAACATGGGGACTAACGTCCCAGTAAGTTGGAAACAGGAAGTCTTGTGAGAAGCGAGAATGAGCGAGAAACACAAAATGCTTTATGGCAATTCGACATAAACACACACGCCGCCCTCAATGTGTATGATGTATTACCCACCTCGGTATAGCTCCACACGATAAAGTTGGCCGGCTCCGATAATAACAAATGCACATGAGCAGCAGTAGAAAGGGGGAGGAGGGGCCGCAAGTGAGTTTTTTTTACAACATTGTTGTGAAATATACGTCCCACAGCTGT